CCGCTACCGTCGAGTTCAGCCGCCCAAGCTGCCTACTACAACATTACGCCTTTGGATGCAACGTATCCCGTCCCAGCGGCGTTCCTCACCCCCGGTCTTCTAACCTTTGGGGGGTCGCCACTCTGCGCCGACTTTTCGACACCGCAGTCGCTTCAAGCCGGGCTACGCCAACTCATCTCGTATGGAGGTATTTGCATGTCCGCGTCCGGCGTCATCACCCGCATCACGCCGTCGCGGCAGCAGTACATCTTTGGCGCCGTCTTGGCTCGCCTTTCGCTCCACGACGACGACTATAGCAGCGTGTGCCGCCACGAGCCGACGTTTGCAACGCAGTGCAGCGTCTACCTGCCAACGACGCTCTGGTACATTGACCAGTTCATGCAGCTGCCGCCAACGATCGCGCGAGAGGCTGTGCAAATGCAGTCGCGCGTGCAAGCCATGGACATCTCGTTTCTCAATTTCATCAAAACGAGCGCGATAGCGCCCTTGACGCTGCAGCGCGTCAACCTTCTCGACGCCACCGAATCGGACTTTGGCTTTTTCGCTTGGCTCTTTCTCTACGACTGGGTGCTCGGAGTCCGCGAAGTCGTCTCTTTTCAAGGTGACAACGGGGTGCTGACGCTGCTCACCGACTCGCAGTCGCCGCTGTCCCAAGCCACACAGGCGTGGGAAGTCCCCGGCAACATTGCCCAGTATTTACACTCTGGCGTCTTGTACGTCACGGGTGTCATGATCGCGGTCGCATCGCTCGCGTTTGTTTACATTCTTGTCCTGCGAGGTCACTTTGAGGGCTGGAACATGCTCGAACTCGGCCGCGTCGGCGGCATTGTCTGGGTCGGCCGGCCGTTCTTGCTGCTTCGGAGTGTGACCGCCATGGTCGTCCTCTCGACGGCGACCTTGCAGTTGCAGTACTCGGGCTATATAAGTTACTTTACGACCATCCAAGATCCGTGGTACAAGACAGTATTGGCGGCGAATGAAGTCACGTGGCTGATTACGATCGTCAACGATGTCCTCTTGGTCATTACGGGCGAGTATGCCTACTACTACGTCTCGCTCAACAGCTACCTCGTGTGGGCAGTCGTCGCTCTTTTGACGCTTCTCTCACCTGTGACACCGACGACGTCCCTTGCGCTGACATGCCGTCTCACGCACGTCGACTTGGACGCCGCGTGTACAGTAGGCGTGATTGACATTGGCAGCTTGCGCCGGATGCTGCTGCTTGTGGCGACTGTCCTTGTTTCGCACATCGCTTGCTACGGCTTGGTCAAACTCCTTTTCCGAGCGTCGTCGGCGGCGCAGGCGCCGTCGCTCTTCCTCTCGTCGGGCGCCAAGTATCAATTTACCCACGAGCCGTGGAGGTACAATAATGTCTACTACGTCGACCGCGCGTCCGCAGCGCTCGATGGACTACTGACACTGCGTTGGAACACGAGCTTGGTCGTCCTCGACGTCAAAATTTGGCGCGCGTTTGCGATTCCGATGAGCGCGACTATGGACGCGCCCGATGCCCTCGCGGCCGCCTTACCCCTTCTCGATTAGACATTTTTTTTAATGTTAAAATGCAGAACTTCCAAACGTCAAGAAGAGGTTTTGCCGGCCAGAGACGCGACGAGTCAACAGTAGGTTAACTAGTCTTTTGGCTTGTAGCTTTTTCGATCCTAACGGTGCATCGCGTCGCGAAACGTTGGGCGTTCTTAGAAATCGGGGTCGAAGTGCTGAACAACAGCGGTAGGTGGGTCGCCGCGTTGTCGATCTGTGATGGATAACCAAATCATCCACAAAGACAAATAATCTC